CTGCAAATTTTTCATATTCAGTGAGAAATTATTTATATCGAAAATTTAGTAATAAATGGATAAGTAGGAATGGTGCATGTCAGTGGCCACGTAGGTGTCCAGACCTCACCGTAATGGACTTCTTTGTTGCGAGCTATATAAAAAATCTTGTATACAATGTTCCACCTATTACTTGCGATGATATTAGAGGGAAGGATTAGAGATGCATTTGCGTGAGAATATCATTTGAAGATAGAATAAGATGCTGTATTCAGGAGAATGGTTATCAATTCGAACATCAATTAAAATTTTTCTTTGTTTTTTCTAAAAGTAAAAGTTCCTTTTATCATTATCATGAAAATATTCAAAAAAGTTTTCTAATAAAAAATATTATTTTATAAGCAGAATGATTATAAAAAGTTATTAATTTTGTATAAATATGTTTGTAGTAAGTAACTGAATTATTTATGAACATGAAAAATATTTATTAACGAAAATTTTAGTTTTAGAAGAAATAAAGAAAAATTTTAATAGGTGTTCCAATTGATAACTATTCTCTTGAATACAGCATCTTATTCTATCTTCAAATGATACTCTCACATTCCTTAGAATATTTGGGGTGATTGTGGTAAATGCATCTCTAATCCTTCCTTTCACATCATCGCAAGTAGTAGGTCGAACACTGTGTACAAGATTTTTTATATAGTCCGAAACAAAGAAGTCCATTACGGGAGGTTTGGACACCTAGGTAGTCACTGACATGGACCATTCCTACCTATTCATTTATTACTAAATTTTCGATTTATATAATTTCTCACTGAATATGAAAAATGTGCAGGTGAGCCATCTAATTGCATTCACATTTTTCTCCTTATATTTAAAGAGACGTCATCAGAAGAACCCAAACTAATTCAATAAAGACCTCGATAAAGACACGTGGATATCTTACAAAAAAAAAAATCGATAAAAAACGAAACGGCACAAATATCTCCAATACCGTTAGAGATAGCTATAGGGAACCTATAACAGTTTGAAAGAGTTTTAAATTTCCTAACTACCAAAGTAAAAATATACTGGGTGTCCCATTTAAAATAACCAAGTTATTGCTGTTTAAAATTGAGAGAAATATTCAGCAGTTTTTTGAACACTCCTGTATGATACTAAGTGACGACAAATATAATAATCTATAACTTCAACGATCTAAACTACACTCTCCAAAGCTGCTTCCTTAAAATTATTTTTTTATTGCAAATATAAAATTTCTACGCTAAGCCTGCATTTTCACTGAAATTTGAAATATCTCAGATACTGTAAGTCACCTATTTTTTTATGGTGCTTTCAAAAATGCAGTAAAATACAGGGTGTTCCATTTAAAAATACATAATTTTGATATGGTACGCTTTTACTAGACACCCTGTATATTTCAAAATATTTTAAAAATGTAGCCGTAATCAACCTACACATGGGTATGTGCAGAAACCTGTATAGGTGGGTACCTAAACAGGTTTCTGTAACATTTGCCGTTTGGTCCCAAGCGTCCGAGGCGTTACTGGTGGCCCACCCTGTATAATATGTACATAATACAGGGTGTTTCGCGTAAGAACCGGCACAGAGCAGGGGAATACATATATTGATTTAATGCAACTTGCCTTTATACTAAGCTGTACCCCTGAAAAGTTATAGGCTTTGAATGTGGGGATTCACATTTCGAAAAAAATCAATACCTACCTCAATTATACTTGAACTTAGAAAAACCAAATTTGGTACACGGTGTGAGTATATCACGAGCATTAATCGACAGTAAATATAGCATTTTAAAGGATTGATAAAGGACGACGCACTATTAAAATATAACAGAATATTTTAACCCGTCGCCATCGACGGACTTACAAAATCATTACTTTACCTTATGGGGAATTTAATTCTAAAATTTTCCTTACTCTAACAAGAGTAAGCCAACTTTAGAATTTAAACGTCAAACTTGACGATCAGGAAAAATGTTGGAATAAGAAAAATTTAATAGAAAAACAAAGATCTTAAACAGTAGAAATAACATACAATTAGCAGTGGTAAGTTATAGTAATTGTTAAAAATGTTCAAAAATGATTACCGTTTTCTAACAGGCGTAAATTTGTTCTTCGTCGAAAATTGAAGCCTATCCAATTGATTATTTCTAATGAATGTGCACTTATCCGTATTCCAAATTCTTTTCCAAAGTGTATCTTATTTCTGTTGTTTGTTATTTGTTTTTCGATTAAATTATTCTTATTCCAATTATTTTTTTCTGATCGTCAAGTTTGACGTTTAAATGCATGATTTTAAATAAAGCTACAATACGTACTATTAGTTATTCGTGTTTTTGTTGAAAACGACAAAGTTTTTTGAAAACTAATAAGAGTAAGAAAAATTTTAGAATTAAATTTCCCATGTTATTACTTTATTAAGTAATAATTTTTTAAGTCCGAGAACGGATTAAAAAATTCTGTCACTTTTTAATGGTGCATCATCCTTTATAAACCCTTTAAAATGCTTCGATTGATCTCTACTTACTGTCGATTAATGCTCTTGGTACACTCACACCGTGTACCATGTTTTACTAAGTTCAAGTATAACTGAGATTGATTTTTTTCGAAATTTGAAACGCCACTTTCAGGGCCATAACTTCTCAGGGGTGCAGCTTAGTATAAAGGTAAGTTGCGTTAAATCACCATGTTTGTGGTTCCCCTACAGGCCTCTGCTCTGTGTCGATTCTTCTGCGAAACACCCTGTATTTTAAATGATTGTTTCTTAATAACGATGACTGATTTTCGAGATACTTCAAATTTTACACAGATATTATTTATTTTAACTTTTTTGTAGGTACGCCTGTTGAATTTTGTATTCAATTTTTAAGTACATAATTTCCTCACGAGTATTTTAT